GCTCGTCCTGGAAAAGCTGCCAGGCTCCGGGGCTCTGCCAACCCTGAGAGCAGGGACAGGAAAGCTCTGCCTATCCAGGTAAAGATCCCAGCGCCTGAGGAGCACAGAAGATCCTGGTGGCAGCATTATACACATAAAGCACAGAAAATTCCCCAAAGAAAAGATGCTCAGCACTTGCAGCATCTTCTAGTGGACCACTGCTCTGACTTTCTCCCACATCCTACAACGGCTAAAACTTTCAGAATCACTCAAACACTGAACACACATCATAATCCATGGATTATTTATTAAGCTTCACTCAAGAAATACACAAGAGAAATACCTTTATGTTTAATTTTTAAAGATTTTATTATAAGGAAACTTTAAAAGTGGTAAAGAAGAATGCTCATAATATACCTCAATAACCAGGAGAACAGTTAAAGCCTACACATTTATTCCTCAAAGGAGAAAACCTAATGTCCACCATCCATATCTCCTTCAGCTTGTGCAGCTACTGCTCACCTCCTTTGTTGACAGCTCCTGCTGCACTGACTCCTTACTCCTGATGAAAGACAGGTAGTGTAATAAAAGCTGTTCAATAACTATTACACTTCTGCTCAGAAGTCCTTAAATTTCAGTTGCAAGTTGAGCAATTGAGTTTCTGAAGTGCTCTGAAATTGTTCAGGGTAGAACTGCTAAGGTTATTGTTAACCTGTTTGTTTCACAGCTAGAAAGTACTGTTTAAATCCAGAAACGGCAAAACCCTCCATTTCAGGAGGCAAAAGGAAATGGCCAGAGAAAAAAGCCTGTTTTATGAGTCTGCTTGTCACAACAGATTTTCCTGCAGAGAGAGATAAATGCTTGAAACGTGAACTTCCAAGCGGCCCCAGCATGAATCCCAGCAGTTACATTTTTGAAACACATTACATGTCTTCCTTTCTGTGAGAGCCAACAAAATACATTCCCTACCAAGGGAATGGGAACTGAAAGTCCATCTGAGGAAAAGCAAATAGCATTTAATTTCCCAAAGGAAAAATGCAGAAGTTTTAGCTGAGGGACTGAGGCAAAATAAACTAAACTAAACACTTTGCACCATGTGACTTTGGAGATAACTGTTCTATACTTTGCAAAGACAACTGAATTTTACCAGGCTTGGTGGAACAGCCCACAGAGAGAATCCATTGCCTATGAACTCCTTTGGCTATTGAGGCTACAGGAAAATCACTCAACAGGAAATAAGAGTCTGGGTTTAGAGGGTAAGGGAAGGGGACCAGGGCTCAGAGAACATACATGCACATGGAGTCAGGTTTTCCCAGCAAGCAGGCAGAAGTGGCTGTCTGAAGTCGCACATGATAAAAAACAAGGTTGAAAATTCTACTGGAAAAAGTTACATACAGTCATTAAAGGCAGCATTATCTGGTGGGCGGTTACTATTGGCTTGTATTCAGTTCCTGCCTCTGTCAATTGATTATTGAAGACAAATAAAATCTCCATCTCAGCGTCTCCAATGCCACCTGAGCCATTTTCTTACTGTGAGCACAGATAGGGGCCCTAACACAGGTCTGTGAAGGCTCAGGTGAGGGCTGCTCTCTCAACCTGTTTATAATCAACAGAGGCTCTCGTGGCTATTTTAGACTGGAAAGCTCTGGCCAACCCTAAAAAGCCAAGCCACTCTAAGTGCTCTAAAAGAGCATCAGCTAGGACTTGGGAGAAGGAAAAAACAAATCTGAGACAAAAATGCAGATGACACAGAAGGTACAAATAACATTTTCAAGCATTATTCAAGTCATTTAAAAACCAGAGTCCAATTAAAAACATTTTAGATACTTTAGAAACAAATTAGCCTCAGATTTTTTAATTACACACCACTACTTCACCTCAGCTTGAGCTGGCTTGGATCACAAAAATCCATTTCACTTTCCATCTTATGCATTAGCACAAGATTGCAATGTTCACACTTGGAAAACATTTATCAGATTCATTTATATATTTAAGCATTACTCAGGAGAGCAAGCACACCCACTTCAAAATAAAACCTTACCCTGCCTCAGCTCAAAGGTTCAAGCAGAAATTTCTAATCCAAGTGGCACGTTCGTGGCAGCATTCAGCAGGTACCACCTGCCCAGAGCCAGCTGCTGCCTGGGTCATCCCAGGACACAGTCCTGCTGCTCCACACAGAGCAAGACCATCCTTGACTGCCTGTCCCTCTCTGCCCTTTCCACGCTGCCTGCAACACCTGATGTGCTCTGATTCCAGCATCAATGAGTACAGGGACACGGGAGTTGGGCTCAGGAACCTCAGCTACAACAACAACTTTACATCTGAACCTTGACGGCTCCTGCTGCTTCCCCAGCAGTGAACTGGGGAGGGGAAGGAGCGGTAGGGCAGGCACCTGTTTAAAATACTTGTTAATGCTGTGATGGATAAGCACTACATCTTCACTTCGCTGCTGTGGAACAACCGGCAGCTCACCACAGCCAGTGCCACAAAACCACAAAACGGGGAGAGGTGGCCGCAGGGAACGCGCTGCAGAGGTGGCCAGGGTGCAGAGGTGGCCAGGGTCCAGTGCTTGGCCACCACCGGACCTCCTCCCCGCCCGGCAGGAGCTGCTGCAGCGCAGGGACGGTGTCGGTCCTGCCGGGCTCCGCGCAGGGAGGCAGGGAGCAGCCGCCGGGCAGCCAAGGAGCGCCGTGCGCGGACCGAGCGCACCAGCCCGGCGGACTGCGAGCCCAGGCGCGTCCGCTCAGGTGCGGGGCCGGGCTCTGTGCGGACGCAGGGCTCGGACTGCCCCAGCCGGGCATGTCACACAGCTGTGTGCAGGAGCAGCCACCCAAATTAACCCTTCCCCGGACACAGGTGCCAGGGCTCTGGCACGCGGCGGTCGGCTCGGCTCATCCAGATTAGAAATGCCTTTCTTATCTCTGATTCCCACCCCCCCACTTCCTCTAAAGCTCACAGTTAAGTAAAAACTCATAAAAATCGAGTACTACGTGAACACAAACGCTGGGAGAGCGAGCGGGAGCCGCTGCCAGCCCCTGCCGCAGCAGAAGTCCCACGAGCGGCATCCCGGGTGCAAGTGCGCCCGGAGAACAAGAGCAGCGAGACCACCGGGCAGCCCGGGGCAGATCCGCGTCCTCGGCGCCAGCCGGGCAGGCGGCACGGCCGCGGCGGACGGACCCGCTCCCCGCCGAGGCGCCGGCGCCGGGAGCGGCACCGGGAGCGGCGCCGGGAGCGGCGCCGGCACCGGGAGCGGCCCCGGCACCGGGAGCGGCGCCGGCACCGGGAGCGGCACCGGGAGCGGCGCCGGCACCGGGAGCGGCACCGGGAGCGGCCCCGGCACCGGGAGCGGCGCCGGCACCGGGAGCGGCACCGGGAGCGGCGCCGGCACCGGGAGCGGCACCGGGAGCGGCACCGGGAGCGGCCCCGGCACCGGGAGCGGCGCCGGCACCGGGAGCGGCACCGGGAGCGGCACCGGGAGCGGCCCCGGCACCGGGAGCGGCGCCGGCCCGTCCGCCCGTCCGGGCCGCAGGGCGTTCCCCACGCGGCGTCCGCCGCGACCCGCGGCCCCCCGGGGCCGGACCCCGGGGCTCTGCCCGCCGCACAGCCGCGGCGCTCCCCCGCCGCCGCCCTCACCTCCTTCTTCACGTTCCAGAGCAGCCGGTCCTTCACGGCGTCCGCCGAGCAGCTCATGTTGGCGGGCCCGGGGCGCTCACAGCTCCCGACCCGGGCCCGCCGCCATCTTCACCGCGGCGTGACGTCAGCGGGCGGGGCGGGGGCGCCGCCCGGCCGCCAGGGGGCGCCGTGAGCGGGGAGAGCGCGGACCCCGGAGGGAGCGGGGAGAGGGAGAGAGGGGAGAGGGGAGAGAGGGACCGGGGAGAGGGAGAGAGGGACGGGGGAGAGGGAGAGGGACCGGGGAGAGGGAGAGAGGGACCGGGGAGAGGGAGAGGGACGGGAGAGAGGGGAAAGAGGGACGGGAGAGAGGGAGAGGGACCGGGGAGAGGGAGAGAGGGGAGAGGGGAGAGAGGGGAGTGAGGGACCGGGGAGAGCGCCGACCCCGGAGGGAGCGGGGAGAGGGAGAGAGGGGAGAGAGGGAGAGAGAGGGACGGGGGAGAGAGGAGAGGGGAGAGAGGGGAGAGAGGGACGAGGGAGAGAGGAGAGGGGAGAGAGGGGAGAGAGGGGAGAGAGGGACGAGGGAGAGGGGAGAGAGGAGAGAGAGGGACGGGGGAGAGAGAGAGAGGGAGAGAGGGGAGAGAGGGACCGGGGAGAGGGAGAGGGACCGGGGAGAGCGCGGACCCCGGAGGGAGCGGGGAGAGGGAGAGGGGAGAGAGGGAGAGGGACCGGGGAGAGGGAGAGAGGGGAAAGAGGGGAGAGAGGGGAGAGAGGGAGAGGGACGGGGAGAGGGAGAGAGGGACAGGGAGAGGGAGAGAGGGAC